ATCAGTGGTTAAAATGTGACAAATTTTCTAGATAGAAGTTTGTGACTGAGAGAGAAAAGTCCTGCAATTCACTGTATGCTTGTATTCTTAAGACAAAAGAATTATAGTAACAACATGAATAGTACTAGTAAGAACTTGAAAGCAATTTAGACTGATGGCTGTACTTTGTACACATTTCAAACTGTTCTCTGATGTCTTCCCCTCTTCCCCATGCCTTGACAATATGGCCAGTATCTTAGCTTTTCATATCATTCCCAGTCTCCTACTGATGTCTGTGCACTGTGTGTTCCAACACTGTGAGTGCCGAGACTCCTTTTCTAAAGTGTTTTTATGGCCCCTACCAGATCTGTGTGGAACTGAGCATTTCATAGTCTTTTAATGTGTTTTTTTTTTTTGTGACAGTGCCTTTGGGGTCATTGGGGAAATATTATCCCATTTTGCAGATGGAACACATTAAGTTCCTTACAAAACACAGTGGTGACAATTTCTTTCCTTTAAAACATAGATGCAACACACGGACACATTACTCCACCATTTCAACCCATTAATCCTATATTCTCTGTTTAAATGATTTGTGTGTCTTTTGATGTAAGGCAATGTCTTTGTCTATGTCTTAGTGCTCAATGAATAATAATAATCGTTTCCTAGCCAAATGCAGGAGTGAACTAAAATTTCTTGGGAGACTGCCTTGCTCCTTGTTAGAGTTTTCTAGACCTATTTTGTAAACCCACAAGTTTCAGCTCAGTCTAGTTAATTTGGGTGCTGAACTGAACCAGCCTGAACCCCTGAATCTTTGGAGGTTCATCTATCACTGCAGCTGGACAGAGGGAGATGGTTGAATAGAATTCAATATGCCAACTGTTCCTTCATTTATTACTGCCATATTAATAAAGTTGATAGGGTGGAACTAATCCATCTGCTCATAATTTATTCCCTAGCAATAAGATACAATTTCACTATTTCATGAGCTCACACTTTGATTAATTTTATTAGAATTCCTTCCATAGCATCATTTTTAATCACTTTTCATCCAGTTTTGGTAATGTTTAAAATACTAGAAAAAGATGGACTTAAAGAGACATGAAAGGATTTAATGAGAAACTTGGGTCAGCTTAAATAGAAACAGATCAAATAAAGTTAAGCCTACAAAGGCCAACAGGAAAGCTTTCAAAATTACCTCCGTCACAGGAAAATTTGTTCTGTCATGTCTAAAATGTGAACAGTCAAAAGAAGTAAGGCAGTCCTGGCAGCAGCATAAGATGAGGCGGGGTTGTAGTGCCTTAAGGGAGGTGACTGGGTGACCTGCTGGTCTGATGCGCAACACTGGTTGAAGGACAGCAGGGGCACAGCTCAATGGATGAGGTCTCCTGCCTTCTTTGTTGAGAACTAGTGAGTGAGGTTTACCTCATCTACTAGTTCCCAGACACCTGGGGCTCTGGATGTTAAAACTATGCAGGATTTTGGCTATATGTTGGTTGTGTGTAATGCTAAAATGAATTTCTGTGAGTTTAGTTATGTTTCCCCTGCTGCTTAGTTTAAAAAATTCTGATATGTCGATCCTTTATTAGTCTGGTAGGGGTAGCCTTCAGTGATTTGGGCTGGGTGCTATTTCAGACATGAATAGCAAAGGAGAAATTACCTGGTTTTTGAAGTGTTGAGCCACCATTCCCATTGATTGCTGGGGAATTTAATACAAAAAAAAAACCAAAACAAACAGACTTTTACTGAGAAAGCTGAGTACAGATCTTTGATACAGGCCTCCTGGGTAGGAGTTTCCACAACATTCATTTCATTAACATAAATCTACATCCACTGAAGGTAATAGTTTTGGCATCAGCTTTGAGTAACAGTTTTGAGTTGTTCTGGAAAAATTCTGAAAACCCTACCTTCCTATTTTAAAGTGTCTTTTTGAGCTGACGGGTAGCAGCAGCCATAGATGATAAAAGTCTTTATTTTTGTTATGTCGCGCACTGTCACTGTTGCAGCACCAACCATTCAAACAAACGCAGACGGACAATTTGTCCCTATTCTATGTGACTTCTCCCAGGAAAGTCATGGACTTCTTATCTTCCCTCCTTTTAACTGCTTCCAGTTTACTTGAAGCTTATGGGGTTGATCTGTTGGCAGTTACTGCAATTTCAGAGTAATTATTCTTTCATTAGGGTGGAGGTGGTAAAAAGGTACAACAACAGTTAAAAATCCATTAATAGTTAAGTTAGATCTCTTAATCTAACGCATAACTGCGACTACAATGGTATTATCTATATGACATTCAAGCCATGATAATAGCTGCATGAGTGTGGATCTTCTTTATAAACGCATTGGTTATGTCTCTTACTCTATCACACATATCTGCATGATCTTAAACGAGGCATTTTTCTGAAATATTTATATACACTTAATGAATCTATGTTTTTTTATATGTATCCATATGCATAAGTACCTAACTGACAGGAAATAAGTGCGGTTATGGAAAGCTGAGTTAACAAACAAAATTCTCACTAAATTGGGTACCTAAACTATAAATAAATTAAATAACATATGCATTAATACCTCCAAATTAATAATTTGAGAGAACTGTAAAGCAGCAGGCTCAGACATCTGTGCGATCTCTTAAAGGCTAAAATTTTATGAAGAATTAAGTTCACTATAGTGTGGTCTGAACAGAAACAATTTTTTTTCCACACAGCAGATGGAAATGTTCACTCTAACTGTCAGCTAATGCTGACTGAAAGCTCTCTAGATGTACAGAGCAAAGTTTTATTCCTCTTTTATTTGCTGGCGTCCAGAAAATCTTCCGCAAGGATAAAAGAAAGTTTACTAGTAAAATGCCAAACCAGTCTTAGAAATGTCAGTTCTAACTGTGCCCTGAAGTACATAATGCAGGGGAATTTTTCTTTTGATTCTAGTCCAGACATCTCAAGGGGCTTTTTATGTCTGTCTTCTAAAAGTGAAGGTTCACAGGAAGAAGAGACAGAGAGCAAGAGCTATCATTTAAGTTTACATGTCTGGCTCTCATCTTTGCCATGAGTGATCCTTTGTAAACATACTTAAGATCAGAAGATGTTTCATCTTTGGGCAAGGCAAAAACAATATCACTGCAGCACCTGAAGAAAACTCTAAAAAGATCTTCAGGCAGCTAGAAAAGCCCTTAATGTGCCATGCATTGGTGGAGCTGCAGTAAATCTGTAGCTGCCATAGATTCATTTTGTGCATTATATTAAATATGTCAATAATGATGATAAAGTATTGGTCTCCTACAAAAGGAAAGATGAAGCAAATGAAGCTTGTTCAGTGATTCACAATCTCTCATGGCCATATAGTTTTAGATGTGAATTGCACATTAAACACATGCAGTGTCCTTTAAAATTCATGGTTTGCATACTGCAAAAACACAACGGAGTCAAAGGGAGTTGGTGATGTAGTTTGACCTGCATATTGATTTTGATTAGTAATAAACTAGACACATTAAACTGTTGTTAATAATATCATTCAGGGAATCAATTAAAATCAATTTTTGTTTGTTTAAACACATACCCTGAGCAGAGGTATGAACAAGAAAATCCCTGTTTAGTTATTTTATGGCACTATGTTGAGAGTGGTGGCAGCACATTTGGGAATTTCAGGCTTTCTTGTGAAGTCCTGTGCAAATTGTTTTACTTTCTAATGTTAAGGTTAGTTGGAGTAATACTGTCAAATAGCTGTACAGTGTGTTCAGACCCAGAGGCTCCAAGACAGCATCACAGTTTAACACGAAAAGATACTGTGCTGTTCATTTTGTCATAATAGTCAAATATTCCCTAGTTATAGAGCATTAAGCAGAGAACGGGACAACTGTACCAAGGAACCCACACATATCTAACACGTATCTGAATTTTTATGCATAAAAGTGACCTTCACCCTTCAAAGTCAGTGGGAAGATTTTTATTTTTATTTTTTTCTCCCACCATGGAATTTAATGAGATCAGAATAATTGTGAGACAACTATTTCACTTTGGGCTTGATTGCATATTCAAGACTTATCACTATTTACTGAATTTCAGGGTGGATTCGTATCTCCATCTGTGTAAGTGGTACATAGCCTACTAAACTAAGTTTCACCTTGATAATATTCCAACATTATTGTTAGTTACTCATTGGTCCAATTTAGTTTTAGCATCCTAGATGTAGCATATTTTCATGGAAACAGTGAATGATATCACATGGCGGTTGCCAAATTAATATATTTTCAGAAAATAATAATAGAAATCAGCACACTTTGGTGAAGGAGGTAAGTACCAATGAAATACTTTTTTTTTTCTTTTTGGAGAAATGACATCTTCTTCTAGGTTTCAAGAATGCTTCTACTCGAAATGAAAACACTCCAGTCAAAGAGTGTTTCCGTTTGTGTAGTTAGTTTGTAAATAATTAGTAGTTCTAAGCATGTGCAGTTCTTTAAAAGGGAACTTTTGAATTATTGAACATTATTATGACTAATATTCCATTTGACCAGAAAGGGCCGCAACTTCCATTTACAAAACATTTTACTAGCTCACATATTTTCCCCTTGAAATTTTTTTTTCTTTCTCTTTTCCTTTATGCATCTCTATCTCCTGACACTCATGTGGAACATTTTATCACAGAAATGTATTCCATATGACTGCAAATATGTGTACAAAATTACTGAGGTCAAATAGGTAAAGCTTGTGCACTAACTATAGACAACATGACATTAGATGAATATTATATATGTTTGACTTAATAAATTTTCTTGTACCTTTAGCAAATGTAGTATCTTATACATTTACTGTAGATTGTGATAATTTATTACAAAACCATTGTCTGAATGGAAAAAAGATTCAAAATTTCATATTGAAAATATATCTGTAAAATCAAAGGATTAATGAAATATATATATTATAAATATAACTTCTTTTCTCTTTAAATGTACTTGAAGAGGATTTCAAAGTCATATGGCTGGGTGCAGTACTGTCATTTTCACATATTTCCTTTTAATTCAGGACTGTGGTTCTCGAATTCGTCCAGAGGAGTCCTGTGGCTTGCAGCCTCTGTCTCGTGAATACCTCTCAGCAATTTCACAGACAATGTTTAAGACATGTGAAGCTGGAGACACAAAAGGTTTGCAGTTAATCCTGTTTCTTCTGAAAATTAATTCTTGCACCTCATCAAAGTAAAACTAGAAGCAATGTTTCCTCTTTTCTGTGGACATGCACTAACCTACATACAGTAAATTTAGCTAATTACTTGTAACAGGTACAGATTTTAAAAATCAAGTTAATTAGTTTGTTCACAATTAGGTAGATAACTAATCAGTTACCTACCACTGCTTGTATTATTATCATGTAGCCTTTAAAATGCGCTATGATGTCCAACAAAATCATTTAAAATAAAAATGCTTTATTCTAAATGGAAGGGATTATCTACTAAAAATAAAAATTAGCTTTACAAAAAGAATACAACATTGTGATCCATTTGAATTTTATATTTCCACTTCTATACAGGAAACTCAAAAATAGTCAAAAGGTAAAATATGTGGTTTTGCACATATTGATACCTTAAAAACAAGATGGACAAAACAAACATTATATAGTACCCAATCCAATCAAGATATCTCATTGGTTTAGTGAGACCCCAGCTTACAACAGATTGTCATGTTTAGGTCACAGCTGCATGAACGTTTATGCAAGTGTACTTTAACAAATCTGAGTATTCCACAGGACTACTCAGGTATGCAGTTTTATAGCTTAAGTTGTTGCTGGATTAGACAATAATAAATTGTATTTAATTCTTTGTTAGACAAATGAAAAACAGCCCCACACTCCTGAATGGTCTGCTAAACTCTATTTTTTATCTTGCCATAGATAGGAACAGCTCCTCACAGCAATAAATTTGCACAATCTCACAGAATAAGCAATACAAAGTAAAAGGGATATGGGAACTGCCTGAATGCATCACTTCATGTGAAACAGATGCATATATTAATTTTGTGTTATATGAACAGAATGCACAAAGGAGAAATTGTTGTGTATTATAATCACGAAGCAAATTGTCAATAATAAGAAGCACAACCCATCTTATGCTACTATATCAGGACATAAAGTTTCTGACTAGAAAACCCTAACCAAATCCACAACAGAGTCCTTCTTGGGCAGATAAACTATTTCTCCTGATACATAACATGTTTCTTTTGAATAATGCATCTAGCTAAGTAAAGCTGAATATAAAATATTCTTTTGCAGCCTTATTGTGAATAATATGGACAATTAAAATGGAAACAAACTTCAGGAGAAGTAGTCTCAAAGGGCGAGTATATTAAACAGGGAAGAATAATTTGTGCTTATAAAGCAAAGATTGCCAAGAGGTATCTAATGAGCCTAGAACTGGGGTTTGCAGTATCTGGTAACAAGTGGCTGTATAGTTTTAATGTACTTCACAACTTCCAACTGGAACTGGAAAGCATGGGGTTTTTGTGGAAAATCATTCCAAATTTGTAACAGCCAAGTGAGATCCCAATCCTGGCAGTGAGCATTTTCCTAACACATGTGGGAGCAATTGTAAATTCTCAGCTAAAGCAGCAACATCTCTTTTACTTAAATAAATGTTCAGAGAAGCCAAGCAATGTCATTTCCTCTCAGAAGAAAGCTCAAAACTTCTGCAGAAGTAAGGCAGTGTCATATACTGATCTTATGCCAGGGAACAGGTTAGTTGTATAGGGGTGCTGAGCTATTACCACTGCAAAATGTAGCTGTGCTGGCAAAAACTTGTATTTGTGCCCACAGAGGCTGAGGCACAGCAGCAGAGATAGAGATGAAGCTCTGCTTCCTCTGACATTAATGGTAAGATTAATGGTAAGACAGCAGTCTGCTTTGCAGTTCAGTACAACCAGGATTTCAAGCCTCATTTCTAGTCCTTTGATGCAGCACATAGACAGTAGTTCAGGGAACTGGCTTCCTCCTGTCTTAGTCACCATGGCACTATTGTTTTCAGGAAGCTCAGTATCTTGTCAAATATGCACTTAATTTACACCATATCTCTCTCTCTTTTTGACTATTCCACATGGGAAAGTTCTCTCCATCTTGTTCAGATGATGGAATGAAATTATGATTCTTGTAGCTATTAAAAACCTTTTTCCTTCAGAAAATTCCCTTTGATTCAACGGAACTTGAGTCAGGTTATCACAGGAACATTAGCTCTCTGTTCAGTATTGCTGTATTATCAATAATACGTAAGTCAGGAAGCATCAACTGTGTGTTTGGCTCCTCAGAGAGAGATAATTGGTAGATACCACAAGAACCCCAAGCTGTACTAAACCCCTGCAGGTGAATCATGCTGCTGCACTCTGGAAATCTGTTTTGCAGGTAATTACAAAATATGGTAAGAGATCACAGATTCACTTTGCTGCTGTGACATGCGTGTTTTAGTTGTATCCCACTTTCCACACTTACTGCATATCCAGTTTAACATAATTCTGCGTGAGCTCTCTCTTTGTGTTCAACAGCTATCTGGATTGGGGTCCAGCAGAGACATAAACTGATATTCAAGCGAGTGTCTCCTTTAGTTACAAGGAGTAAATTTCAATTTGAACATACGACTGTAGGCCTAAGGCCATTTACTCTGTAGCAACAAAATTGTCCTTTAAATGTAATTTCAGTTTTGTTTTTCATGAGGGCAGCTAAAAGCTAAAGAAAAAGAAATCTACAGCACATTCATGGAGAAAACATTTTTCAAAGTCTTAGTGTGCCAAATAGACATCAAATATAAAATTAAACTAGTCATAAATCATGAAACTATCTTTAGCATTAGTTTTGGTTGAGTATTTAAAATCTGAGTTGTCAGTTTAGAATATAATTTTTCCTTTTATATGAATAATTGTTTAGCACTATTGGAAAACTTTGATTTTGCTCTTGAAAGCATAAGATGTGTATTAGTGGCTATGTCAGTGGGAAAGGTTGAATAAAAACAAAAGAGGCTGAAAGGAGAAACAAAACTATCTTTATTGGTTAAAACTTTTAACTTTGGACTAATATATTTTAAAACAAGATAAACAGTCCAATAAATTATTTTAAGAGTATATTTCTTTTCATGCCTTTTTAAGAGAGCGTTTTTTGGAAGTACTGGCAATATTTAATCTCATATGTTGAGGAGAAGATTTATACATGAGATGATAAATTGCTCTGATGAGCCAAAAATCCAGTTTACTTTCACTCTTCCTGTGGAAAACTCACATTTACAGGTTTCCATAAAATTTTGCTTTTATCTGTGTTTAATTTGTGAATAAACTAACAGCAGCTCTCTCCTGCTCTCTTTCACTGAATTGTAAGTAAACTTTCCCTGGCCTGGTAGGGGCAATTACCAGAGCACCACAAAATTGATTGAAGTGGTTCTGAAAGCCACTTTGCATGCTGCTGCCTGATATAAATGGAGGAGAAGAAGGTTATAATTTCAATAGAAAATAAGCTTAATTTCCAAACTGATATTGTTTGCAATATTTCTTCTTCTTTTATATATGAGATTCATTTCATCTTTCAACACAATCTTATTTTTAAAGGTTAAGAATACATTGACTAACTGTTGTGAAGTTACTATAGGAAAAGTTCATAATGATTGGATAAAAAATGCATAAATTTACACACAATTAAAAAAAATCTATATAAATATAAAACCTGCAACTATTCTGTTAGCAGTAAATGTCAGTGCTTCCTATAAACTTGAGTTTATCTCCATATATACTTGTTCTATATTTTTTTTTACATTTCCCACTAACCTTTAGCGTATGCCAAAAACTGGCATATTTTTTTCTTAGTGTACCTAGAGAGCTATTCAATATAAACCAAAGTATTTGAAAGTTGTTTTTCAAAAGGCACTTATCATTTTCAGTTGCCAAAGTTGAAACTTTTATTGTTCAAATGTTTCAGCTTCTCAATATTCATTTTATATAGTTGTACTTTTCTAGTCTATTACCTAAAACCAGATCAGCTCATAAATGTATGGATGTTAAGAAAATTCAGTAAAATGAGGGATCTCAGATGTTGTAGACATTGCCAGAACTTTTATGTATTTGGCTTAAAAGAAAAATTACAATGTCAGGGAAAGAACTGCCCAGTTTTCATATAATTTTAAATATAAACCACTGCTGAAAACAACATTCAGCTCATTTCTGAAGAACTTTACAGTAGTCTGAGTCCAGACCTTAAACCAACCAACTATTCTGTCCATGCTCTGATACTGAAAAGGCACAAAACAGTAAAAGATACTTGCATACTATTACTGTTTGTCCTGAGGCCTTGCACTTTTCAGTCTCTTCATACGACTGCTATGGAGCTGGGAATGACCCTTTAGTCACGAGTTGCAAAGGAGGCGCAGAGGGAGCTAAGGGCAAGATCCACAAGTGGAGATAGAAATCTTACAGGATCAAAGCGTGCCTTATCCCAGTGGTGGCCAGGAGGCCACAACCTCTTCTCCCACAAAAAAATTGCTAGGTTACAGTGGTGTTATTTTCCTGTCCTAATGAATTCTGAAGTTTGAAGTGGTCCTCAGCTGGTAAGAACATTGGGGAACATTGTCCTTAAGGACAAACAACTAGGTGATTAGAACACAGGCAATGCAAGTTTGACACTCCTCTGGGCAAGGAGCTCTGGGCAGCTCCATCTCCCTTACCTACCGTCATGGTCCTGAGAGTCCCTCCTTCCGCTTCTTCAATGTTGAACTGGGCTGTTTGCCTGGCAGCAGCCTTCAGGAAGCACGCACACCTGTGAGAACCAGGGGAGCTGGTTTATGTTCACTGCCACACAGGGTAGTGAAGTCAGTGTTTAGGTTCAGTCTGCCGTTATTTGCTCCATGTTGTCTGCATGTGTAGCTGAGAGTGGGGTGAGCATGTTCTGCATAGAACAAAAGCTACACAGCAGATAAGGCTGGTTATACTCCCATATAGAAGCATAGAATAGTTAGGGTCGGAAAGGACCTAAGATCATGTAGTTCCAACCCCCCTTCCATGAGCAGGGACACCTCACACTAAACCATCTCACCCAAGGCTCTGTCCAACCTGGTCTTGAACACCGCCAGGGATGGAGCATTCACAACTTCCTTGGGCAACCCATTCCAGTGCCTCACCACCCTTAGAGTAAAGAATTTCTTCCTTATATCCAATCTAAACTTCCCCTGTTTAAGTTTTAACCCGTTACCTCTTGTCCTGTCACTACAGTCTCTACTGAAGAGTCCCTCCCCAGCACCCTTTTAGGCCCCCTTCAGATATTAGAAGGCTGCTATGAGGTCTCCATGCAGCCTTCTCTTCTCCAGGCTGAACAGCCCCAACTTTCTCAGCTTGTCTTAATATGGGAGGTGCTCCAGTCCCCTGATCATCCTTGTGGCCCTTCTCTGGACTTGTTCCAACAGTTCCATGTCCTTTTTATGTTGAGGACACCAGAACTGCACACAATACTCCAAGTGAGATCTCACAAGAGCAGAGTAGAGGGGCAGGATCACCTCCTTTGACCTGCTGGTCACACTCCTTTTGATGCAGCCCAGGATACGGTTGGCTTTCTGGGCCGCAAGTGCACACTGAAGCCGGCTCATGTTCATTTTCTCATCAACCAACACCCCCAAGTCCTTCTCTGTAGGGCTGCTCTGAATCTCTTCTCTGCCCAACCTGTAGCTGTGCCTGGTATTGCTCCGACCCAGGTGTAGGACCTTGCACTTGGCATGGTTAAACTTCATGAGGTTGGCATCAGCCCACCTCACAAGCGTGTCAAGGTCCCTCTGGATGGCATTCCTTCCCTCCGGCGTATCAACTGAACCACACAGCTTGGTGTCATCTGCAAACTTGCTGAGGGCTCACTCAATCCCACTGTCCATGTCAGCGACAAAGATGTTGAACAAGACCGGTCCCAACACCGATCCCTGAGGGACACCACTCGTTACTGGTCTCCAGCTGGACATTGAGCCATTGACCACAACTCTTTGTGTGTGGCCATCCCGCCAGTTCTTTATCCACTGAGTGGTCCATCCATCAAATTGATGTCTCTCCAATTCAGAGACAAGGATGTCGTGTGGGACAGTGTTGAACGCTTTGCACAAGTCCAGGTAGATGACATCAACTGTTCTACCCCTGTCCCTCAGTTCTGTAGTCCCATCATAGAAGGCCACCAAACTGGTCAGGCAGGATTTCCCCTTAGTGAAGCCATGCTGGCTGTCACCAAGCACCTTGTTGATTTTCATGTGCCTTAGCATGCCTTCCAGGAGAATCTGCTCCAAGATTTTGCCAGGCAGAGTGGTGAGACTGACTGGTCTGTAATTCCCTAAGTCATCCATTTTTCCCCTCTTGAAAATGGGGGTTATATTTCCCTTTTTCCAGTTGTTGTGAACTTCACCTGACTGCCATGATTTTTCAGATATGCTGGACAGTGGCTTAGCAACTTCATTTGCCAGCTCCTTCTGGACCCATGGATGGATTTCATCAGGTCCCATGGACTTGTGCACAAATATCTGAAATATATATATGGAATATATATATATATGGGTTATTTTCCTGTAGCATTGTGGGATATATTCTGCCCTTAGGTGTGCCAGTTCTTGATGTTTTTATTTAGATGGACTTCTTTATCTGCTGAGACAACTCACTCTACCACCTACCAAAACATACTCACATGGGGCTTGTGCTTGCCACAAACGCAGGCTTGCCTCCCTGGAAGTTCCCTTGCTCCCAGATTAGCCGCTGACTCCCCCAAGGCCACTAGGATCCGCAGGGTTGCTTCACTCTGCTTCCCACTCTGTCCCAGACTTGATAAGGCACAAGTTGATAGGCACTTATAGCCTAGGTTTTTTGCTGTGGCTTCTTGTGTAGCAGCAATGTATCACACACAGCAAAGCTCACCCATTTGCCTGGGGAGCTGCTGTCTGGTAGCAGTGATGGTCACAAACTCTAAGGCCAGGACTACTCTGCAAACGTTTGCTTTTAGAGCTGTTTGATGAGCTGCAGTGAGAAACTTGGCTGTGCTAGGGAGGCCTAATAGCATTGACACAGGGACTCTGCAGTCTTCCTTGTGTAATGCCTTTAATCAGAGTGAAAGCAGGTTTTGCTGACAGAGCTACATAGGCGCCTGGAGATATTGTTAGGAAGGTGCACTTGTATGTGCTAGAAAAAAGTGTTCCTTGTGTTGATTTGAAAATAAAAGGCAACTCAAAAGTTTTCTGTCTTCCTTCAGAAGTTAAATCCCTCAGACTTCCAGTAGGATTTTGTAAATTAATAGCTTTAGAAAACTAACATAACAAAACCAGTCAAATCAAGAGATGCCTAAACCCCACTGACTTCTGGTAATTCCACTTTATGCTCTGTCCTGGGTTCAGCAGTAGCAGTCATTTCTCTCCTCCTTGGTAGCTGGTGCAGTGCTGTGTTTTGACTTTCAGCCTGGGAACAGAGCTGATAGCGATGTTTTGGTTTGGCCAAGGACTTTGTGAGCCTCATGCTCTGCCAGGGAGGAGGGGAAGCCAGGAGGAAGCAGAGACAGGACACCTGACCCAAACTGACCAAAGAGGTATTCCATACCACAGCACGTCATGCCCAGGATGTAACGGGGAGTGAGCCGGAAGGGCTGGGAGTCTGCAGGGTTGGAGGAGGCATCGGTCGGAGCTTGGTTGGGCTGGGGGGGGCGGGTTATCGGTCAGCTGGTGATGAGGTGTTGTATTCTCTTCCCTTGTTATTTCCTTTATCATTATTATTATTGGTGGTAGCAGTAGTGTTGTGTGTTATACCTTAGTTACTAAACTGTTCTTATCTCAACCTGTGGGAGTTGCATTCTTTCGATTCTCCTCTCCGTCCCTCCAGGAGTAGGGGGAGGGCAAGAAGGAGGGGAGTGAGTGAACAAGTTGCCTGACTGGGTTTAAACCACGACATGCTCCTAATCTGAAAAGTGATTTTTGAAAATAGGAAAATCAGGCTCTAATAAATCACATAGGTTATTCACCTGACCTTACTTTCACCTTCTGAAATGTATATGTGTAGTCTGGGACAGTCCCCTGAATTCTCACAAATCAAAGAAATCAGTATTTTTGAGGGAACGTCATTGTCTCTCTTGTTTCATTTTTCTCTCAAGGGGCTATCAAAGTCTAGCTTCAACCAACAACCCAACTTTTAGATGTTTAATTGTAGATGAGAATGAATCTTGTCTTTAGGGCCTTCTGAATATGGATATTTTCTTTTTTGCCTTCAGTCTCCTCAACCCCTTTCCCTTTCTCATACCCCTTCTGTGGAGAAAGGACAAGCTGCTACGAGAAAGGCAACATGAACTGAGAAATGAACCCACGAGTAACTGTCAAATTTGAGCCTTCGCAGCTCTTTCAGGGAAAGGGAAACCTCCCACACTAGCTAAATGAACAGGGCATAACACAGAGGAAGGAAAGTCTCTTCAAAGGGTCGGGGGCATTTAATTTAGGGAAAACTCCCATGACAACATACTCAAAAATATCTTGCTTGCTGTATAATAAAGCCATTCACAAAAATGCAGAGGAGGTGTTGACATCCTGTTTCTGTTTTCCAGGGCAGTGGATTGTCCCTTGCCTCAGCTGCTCTGACAACAGGACCTGTGACTGGAGAGAAATAACGTGGCAGCCCCATGGTTGCCAATATGGTGTGCTAGCGAAGCCTGAGCTCCAGCGCTGCGTGGAGGGCAGAAGGGTATGTGACAGATTTTACATTTTAATTTGGTATTATTTAGTGTCCAGAAGCTTTAAAACCACTGTTATGATTGATGTGTAAGAAAATCCCTTTTTATTATAAATGGAAAATGGTACTGATGGAAAATCCACAGGATCAAAAAACAACCATTATCTATAGTTAAGACTCTTATGCAGACACAGTTTTCTGCCACCATTTCGCATAGGACCTTAGGTCACACCAGTGGAGCTTCAAGACCTAAGGTGTACACGGTTACCGGTTAGACCTGTAGTGAGTATGTAAGGACTGTAAATGGAGGATGGCTTTGCACTGTTGTCACAGTTTGTGTCACACTTGACGTGCAAGTTGGGTTTCTTCTGCTGCATACCTAATGCATGGCATTGCTTGTGCACACTAATCTTACCAAGTCTTCTTGCACATTCTTTTCTTGTAGTGAAGCTTCTAAGGTGATTGCTTGGAAATACAAGGTCTCCTTAATAAGCATGCTATGACTGTAAAACTGTTGAAACAGAACTCTGATCTGAGGCTCAGGTACCTTACTGAGGATACAAGTATCCAGAAAGTAAGTAATTAATTATTATAAAGATTTTTATAACTTATTGTCTAGGTAAGAAAATGGTATCTAAAAGTGGCATTTTTATAAAATCTGAGAGCATGTCCATATAGACAAATGCAAAAATAAGTCTTCAATTAACATATCCTCCTTCTTTTCTGGTAAATTCTTTTCTTGCACAAAGTCCTGCATTGCCATTTGGTTTTATTTCTGCCTGTGGTTTTCTCCATTACCATAGAGCTGTGGGCTTCTCCTAACATATTTTTCTAAAAAAAAAATAGGTTTATATGACAGAGGAGATGCTTGATCTGCTCCTTGTGTACAAAGCAACCACTTATGGATTGACCACAGCAACAAATATAGAAGAATTTGATAGCTTTGCTTTGGTTTTAATTTCCCTAGATGTCAGGCTGCTTCAATAGGCAATCACCCTTTGGTCAGGCAATTGAAGGATAGCAGAAGAGCAATACACCACTGTAGAAGCAGATTGGCAGTGTGTTGCAGGGAGGATTTTGCTGACATTCCCACTTCCTGAGTCTGACCGCTCACGCTCACCAGTGTGAAAACCAGAACAGTGTTTTTAAGGGTCCATTGAAACTAAGTATATTAAATGCATGTTTGTAAGCTTAATTTCTTGATTCAGATTCCAATTTCTAAGGTCACTGATCTAGTCTAGTGTCAGATGAGATCCAGATCCTATGTGACCTATATTAACAGAAAAATCTTCTTAAAACTTATTGCACTTGTTTTCCTTTCTCCATCTTTTGCAAAATCTTCCATCATTTTCTGATGTTCTGGTTTTGGCTGGGATAGAGTTAAATTTCTTCCTAGAACTTTCTAACCTTCCTAAACTTTCTAAACTTCACTGCTCTGTAGAAATCTGATGAATTTCTCCGGTTACCTTTGCACAGATGTCCATTTAACTCAATTATTCTTTTAAAGTCATCGCTCTAAAGCATGTTTCTCTTTTGGTATATTTTCCCTACATCTTTCCCTCTGGTGTAATTTCAGTTATCGTTTTGCAGTGGTTTTAACTTTGTGTGGCAGTTTTCAATGGGATTTTTGCTTCTGTCACCAAATAAATGTAGAGCCTGGAGCAACAACCTCATGTCAGTAGAGCTTAAGAACTAAGAGAGAATTTGTTTATGCCTAAGTCAGATGAGTAAAAATGGTCCTCTGCTTGGGTGATAAGGTCCTGATTCTGCCTGTGATTAAGGCAAACTTTAGAATTACTTTACACAGCCTAAGCTATGTAGTAGAGAAAGTATTTTCAGGTGCTCACTGAAAGACTTTTGCCTGTCAGTTGTTTTGAATGTATGATATATGTTTAAGCAAACTGGTCTTTGATAAGGGAGCTGTTGAGTGGACATCAAGATATAATTCTTGTGAACAAATAAATTTTTATTACACAAGAGATTTTGTTAACCATCTAGAAATATTTATATTTCTTAATTTGTGATATTAGTTTCTAACCATTGTATACCTTGTCTTTAAGCCCTACGGAGATCACTGATTTCTCAAACTAATAACATCACAGTTTCCATGATAAAACAAGCAGAAAGTTTCAATGTAAACGAATTGCAAAAAAAAACCCACTCACAAATTCTCAACTGAAGTGAAGAAGACTGAGATGATCTAGAATGAATGCTGTTTTACTTATATTGTCATTTGCTAAAGTTAGCTGAGAGCAACAGAACTCTCCCATGTGTCCACTTCCCAAAATGGGCTCAACTAACCTGTGAGCTTCTGTATTCTGGGTTTGTTTAGTATGGCACCATATTTTGAATATTCAACTTGTGTAACTGGTCTCTGGAGTTCAAAATTCTTTACAAAGGAGACATCTATATGATCTACGTCTGAATTCTTGCTCAAAGTCTATTCTGAATGAAGACAGTAAAACCTCCACATAATTGCCAATCCTTCCTCAGAAAAGCAGAAACATATATGTCTGTAGTATCTTTGAGTCAAATGACATCATACATTCCATCAGAACACTAACAGCCTTCTATGATGACTGAATTTCACTAGTGAGTACCTTCATAAAAAAATCAGGGTCCTGCAAGATTTCACCAGGAATCACAGGTAAAGCAAGTAGTGATATTTGAAATTCACTAGGCTGAAGTCTCTGTGGTTTTGTCCTGGAAAAAAAAAAAAATAATTTAGCTTCAGGATTTTGGTCTTACAGTTAAAAACATCATGGTAAGATATTATAAGCAACATAAGTATCTGTGATTATTTTATTTTAAATAGCAGGTGTTAATCTGTATGTCACTGTCAAATTCCGACTATGATAACAGCAGGCAGCTTTCTTGTGCTTCCTTATTAGATTTTTATTAAAATAGAAAAGGAAAGAAAAAAAGAGGCAAAAAGAAAAAAAAAACCAGCTTGCTTGAGCCTGCTTGTCTTTCTGCTTTCAAAGAAATGCAGTACATGTAGGATCAACTGTATCTTTAAGTTCAGTCTTTCTGTTTTTCTCATGTTACAACAGTAAAACGTAGCATTCAAATATGTCTGTTGCTCATTAATTTCTTCTATGCATTTGTCAAATTTTCTTAAATATGCTTATGGTCATAGAATCATAGAATAGTTAGGGTTGGAAAGGACCTTAAGATTATCTAGTTCCAACCCCACTGCCATGGGCAGGGACACCTCCCACTAGACCATGCCACCCAAGGACACCCAACAGAGCACTTCTTTCCTATCTGCATCATAAATAAGACCACAAAAATGCTGTCTAATTTGTTTTCTAGCTCCAGGCTGCTTTCAAGTCTAATATTAAAATTTATATGTTTTTCAGATCTTATCTCCAAAATTATCATCCTCTTTATAACAGAAATTCGTTTTCCCTGGCTATGACTTCCAATTGATTTCACATCATCATTAACTGCTATTTTAGTTTGTGTGCATATAAAACTGCGTTTGAGCTAAGTTGTTTCTGTGTGTTGTGGTTTAACCATCGGGCAGCCAAACACCATTCAGCCATTCACTCATTCCACCCCAGTGGGATGTGGGAGAGAATCAGAAAAATAATAAAATTCCTTTTTAAAATTGAGATAAAGAACTCAGCACCATGCCAGCTGCTAGGAAGTAAATTAATTCTGTCCCAGCTGAAACCAGGACACTATTTCACAAAAACATAAGACCACCTGTAGTGAAATAGTAACACCCAGATTGGTGGAGACATGACAAAGGATATACATCCATGAAAGCAGTTTATGAGGCCCTACTTTGCTTTATGATGTGTTGTCAAGACTAGTCAGTCATATGTTTGCATTTTAGACACAGCAAACAGGAAAATTGTCAAGTATTGAGGCTAAGGTGATTCTGGCTAAGTAGATTTTCATTTTCTACTGCTGGTATCTGGTCTTTTCCATTTTTAACTAAGGGTAATGAGATGCATGCTGTGTTGTTCTTAGGGAACTCCATGTGTATGTCCTAATTGAATTAAAGAAATTGGCAATCATAATAAAAATATCTGTATTATATTGTCTCAGCAAAATCCTCTGTAATTGTGGTTAATGAGTTTTTGCTGTAATATTTATGTAATTCTATTAAGATATAATAATTTTTTTATATAAGAACTTTAAAAATTGGGTCAGGAAAAAGGGGTTCTAGCAGGTAATTATTTATCTAATTAGCAGCGTATAGAAAGCTGGCTTCAATAGCAGGGAGAATATATATTTTGCTTATCACTGAGAAATACTACTCAGAGTTTAGTCTTATAATAAAGTACCATTGAGTCATGTGTAATTAAGAACAGGAAATATGAAAAGGCAATATTTGCTGAAGTACTTAAAATTCAGCTGTTAAAACAGGAATTTTAACTTCTAATTTCTTAATAATATTTTAGGGTTAAGTAGTGTTTTGGACTTACAGGTGTTTAAATTTCCTAAGTGTGGTTAATTTATAATGATAGGTCTGGTTAAGAAGTGAATTCCACTATGCTTACACAATCTTTTAAAGCCTTTAAGCTATAATGGAATTTTTCACACAAAACATTTGCAACACTGAAAACGTCTGTCTGTGTGCAAGTGTTGTTCTTTGGTAAAATTATAACTTGATGTATGTCTGATGCTTTAGTCATCCTGCAGACAAATGCCCCATCAACCTGAGCAGTACATGACTAAGCTTTGTGCCAGACGGTAAAGAGAATGAGATATGACATATTCAACACACCCGAGTCATTATTTTGCTCATTATTGTTACACAGCTAAATGCAGAATCTTCTCTAGAGCCCTTTGTTCAAAACATATTAAATACCACATGGCACACACAGCTACAGGAAGTTTATGCAACCATATAGAAATAAATGTGGCCATAGCTACCACACATTCAATTACACTGAATAATTATTCTAATTTATTGAAGCTCTTGGGTTAGTTGAAGGATCTAAGTTTTCTTCCTGAGGCTAATCACCACTTATTTTAGCCTTTGAGTCTTCCAAGCA